AAATTCCCATACCAGCTAATGGAGTAGTAATACTGACCACAGAGAGCCTTTAGACTTACCAATTTTACTCTTAATCTGAAAATGTTAGAGAATGCTAGAGCACTATTGGGAATGGGGGCAATTACTTTCCATTTTTATCTCTAGTTTCTACTTCCTTACCCTACATCATCTTGAAAATGGGCTGTATGTGTAGGTAAATCTTTGTGCTGTCTAGTAATATTTTAAAGTACAAAATCTGGTTCAAAACTGTTCAGTGGATGCTGTTTCTATGTGCAAGACTTGTGATGGAGCAGTTAGACCCTATTTTACATGTGTCTGTGGCAGCAGTGTTGGATGTGTTAGTGAGAGTTGGTCACAGTGTTTTGTTAGATGGTTTGAAGTGCTGTGGAAGCTAGCAAATTAGTATGGGTGCCATGGACAGTGACAGCTCTGCAGTACTACCATTGTTTTGCTGAAGAAATACGGCCTGTATGTGGCCATTATATTTGTAAAGTATGAGGAAAACTAATGGCCCTCAGCCTAATTTCATGTGGGTCTCACCCTGATTTTCAGAAGCCTTCCACATATGGTCAGTCCAGACTTCTAGCAAGAGCTATCTGTGCTTTTCTTGGAGGCCTACTACATGGGGAAGAAGAAGGAAAAAGAAGTGGCACAAAATGAAAAATGAAAGGAAGCAACACCTCATGCTTTTGGCTCTGACCCTGTCCACCACTGCCTTTGGCCTACTGATTGTCAATATGCAGCCCCTGACAAATTATCCATGAAAGATAGAAGAAAGGTTGCTTACCTCTACCATATAAGGGGGGAAATGATCTGAGACATGTCAAAATTCCCTGCAAATATAAGCTTTTCATAGACCTCTTGGTACAGTGTGCATGTAGGTAGAGACAAGAATAAAATAACAATTTTCTTTGCTTTCAGAAAGGGCTTTTTTTGGGGGGGGTACACATCTCTGTTCCTTTTGCTTGTCTGATTTTGAGCGACTTATATTTTTCTTTAATTTTGCCCCCCCTTTCCCCCCATCATACTTTGGGCTGCTCCTTCCTTTAGCAATTGCCCAGCTTCTTTAGGGAGGACCTCTTAATGTCCTCCCTAAAGCTTCAAAAGCATTTTGGTTAATAACTCTTAGGATTTATTCATATGTAATGTTAAGTCATGTACATAATGTTAAGCCATGTTAATGGCCTTTTCCACTCTGCTGGCTCTTGCAGGTTGATGGGAGTTGTCATTCAACATATCTGGATGGCACCAGTTTGGGAAATGCTTATTTTAGCTATTGTTAGCTGAAATAAGTTGACTTAAAACCATTTTCACATTAGAGTCTAATTCAGTTCTCTGCATGCCATTGTTATAGATTCAAAATGTCCATGGCAACACAAGAGGGAGTTACCAACAGATGCAGTATAACCTTGGAGTTTGTGGAAAATATCCCCAAAACTGAGCATGCCCAGTTCCCAAGGAATGCTGAGATTTAAAAAAAAAACCCTCTGAAAATCTAAGGGTGAGGGAGATGGAATAAAGTGGCTGGAAAAAGAGGAAGAGCTACATAGATAAAAATGTACTATCTAGTTCACTCATGCCCTTGCCAGCAATTGCTTGCTTTTTCACCCACTCTGGACAATATCCTGACTCAGAATGGGGAGCGCTGAAGGTTTCCCTGGCATGGCATGCTAAGAATATTTTGTTGTAGGGCCCCATTTGTGTATAAAAATAGTAATGTCAATTGTGTTGGTCCTTATGTAGCCAAACAACACCATCCACACACAAGGTGAAAGGTATCAGATGTGGGTGAACTCCCAAGATTTGCTGAACTGTGTCTGGGGAAAGAAACCTCAGTATAGTCCAGTGAGGACTGATTGTGCTAAATAGCCACACAAAGGTGATTGTTGCAGCAATGGGGAGAAAGTGAAAACCTTGAGGTGAGGCAGGCAAACGGAACAGAGTAGCTAGGCTCTTGAGCAGAAAGTACTGCACACTACAACCTGCAGAGGAGGGCAGAGCGAGTTCCAATAGAGCAAAGGAAGTACTTCCTGACAGTTAGGACCCCGAGGGTATGGAATGGGCTTCCGTGGGAGGTGGTTGAAGCCCCCTTGGTGAGGGTGTTCAAGGATAGGATGAACATGCACATGGTAGGCATGTCATGAGTGGAGTAGGCTGGAGCCAGGGGTCAGACTAGATGGCCCAGGAGGCCTGTTCTGACTCACTCTGTTTCTATGTTTCCATGTTTCTATTTGCATACCAAGGGAGTGGAAAATGTGCAAGTCCCAATGCGTCAACTTGAGGTGTCATCTTGTAACAGTAAACCAGCATTGTGTCCAAATGCAATTTTAGGCTTACTTGTAGCCAGGTTTATCAACTTCCTTAAGAGATCTTTGAATGTACATTTCCAGCTCTTTAAGGCTTGAAATTTGCAATTGAAAATATTGGTGCTTTGGTTTTGTTGTGTGAGTCCTTAATTTAGTTCTTTAAATTTTCCATGACTAGATAGTTTTATAAATAATCTATGTGAATTGGATTCCCTATACAGAGTTACTAGACTGTACAGAGTTACTAGACTCTGTGAACTGTCCATTAATCTGAACTGTCTGGTTATGCTACATCTGATACTGTATATGTTCATTCAGCACCTTTCCTGCATCCTGCCAAGTGTGACTATACTTACTCTATATAAAATTGTTGACCTTCCCCTTCTCCCCAGGGTGGATTGATATAAATCAAGGCAATTTAAACCAGTGATACAAATCTGCAAGAAAAAGATTGAGTTGAAATCAAGTTTCCCATTGAAACTTTTCCATATATTTTGTATATTTCCTGCGCTTCTCCAGCTGACAAGTGCAAAGTGACAAGTGCTCCTGAGTGCCATTGCAGGAGCTGATGAGACCTGCTGGTGAGAGTTTGTCAGTGCAAGTACAAAAGGCTCAGCGTACCAATTCCAAGAAGAAAGAAGGGCCCAGGGAGTCACATGGGAGGGTTTCTGGGTAGGAGAAACAGGGAAGAAAGGGGTGGAGCACCCCAGAAGAGTGATCATTGTGCTTGGGCTGGGCTCGGAGAAGGAGCATGCTTTTCCATTCAATTAGTTCTAAAATCAACTCTTAAGACCTTATACCAGTTTTCTTCCTTGTTTAATGGCTAATGAAATATATTAATTGTGTATATTAAATTAAATAATATACTGTAAACACTTAAATTTACAATATGGAAATATAATTCATTGTGTGGCCCCTGGGTTCCATGTTGAAGTACTCCTGTGGCCCTCAAGGTATGAAATGTTGTACCTTGCTCCCCTAGACACACATATGGTCAAATCACAACCTTTTCATAGGGTTGGATTCCTGTTGTTTCTCACTTCTGAAAATTTGTCTCTAGCTTGTTATGCCGGTTTTCAATACATGGAAACTTGAGGGCATTCAGTTCTATTCAGCAGAGTAGCAGTTCTTGACTATTCATTCTTAACCCTTGATAGTTTGAGCCAATTAAATTGTCAGGCTTTTACTAGTAATTTCGTCAACTAGGACAGTTAAAAAATAGAGGCAGTGTACCTCTGCAAGAGATCAGAACCTTGGCTGAACATGATGACCTATCATAAATTCAATAGTTCAGTATTTAAAGTCTGCCTTAAAAAGAACATTATCAGACATTAATCTTTTCATTGGGTTTCGGCATTGTAGCTCAGTAACAGAATTGACTTTAATAGATTTCTGCCTTCAGTTACTAAAACCTTTCTAGTATCAGTGCTTTGTGTGCTTTTTGCTGGTGATCTTAAAGTCATGCTAAATAGACTTGTACTAAATGTGATTTGTACCAATTTTAAACCTGTTTAAGGCTTAAAGACAAGCTTCTACTCAGAAGTAACAAGGAAGGAATCATATGGCAGTACATGCAGGACCATACTCAAAAGAAGACAGTTTTGAATCAGCTTCCTCCCCTGATTCTGCCCTGCCAGAAAAAAGTTCTCTGCTGCATTACAGGGATAAGAATTTTTTCTTTGCTCAGCATTTAGAAAGGGAGTGCTCAGCAAAGAAAGATTCTTATCTCTGATCAGCTGCTGATCAAGATAAGATCTCAGGTTGGGAGAGGACCTGAGAAAAAAAGCTAGCAGACTAGATGTACACCCTGTTTGACCTGACCTACAGCTTCCAGTTGGACTGTATTTTCAGTGCTCCCCTGTAATTAAAACAGTTCCGTGCATTTGAAGAACCGTTTTATATAATAGTTGTGGACTTTAGCCTTGTCATAGTATTGCACTTTTCTGTGGCTCTGGTCTGTTCTTTTTGCTGCATATTCTAAGGATTCATACTTTACTGTATTTGTCTTTCAGAATCTTTTAAAGAGTCAGGTAGTTTTTTATGGATTGAAGCAAATAAAAGCATGTCATGTTGCCTAAAGGTGATGTTACTTGATGAAGGTGACCATGTAAATCTATCCTAAATGGTGAAACCTTGCTCAGTTCTGCAACTCTCTTGAATCCCAGCTTTAGAACATTTGCTCTATTCAGTACTATTGTTGTCCAAACACATTTAGACCAGTACACTCTTCATGGAAACACTGCCAGGAAGGAAGTCAGTTGCTGCCAAAACATTCCTCATCCAGGATATCCTTCAAAGCAAAATGTATAAGTATGTCTGAGAAATTAATATTTTTGTTGAGAAATTAATATTTTTGTTGTGAAGGTTTTTCTTTTTGTTTTATTTTTTATTTTGAGTGTGGATTTTAATATGCTATAATTGAATTCTGTGATGAGCCAGGCAGAGTTAGTGCTCTTCTTCACTATATGCTTCTAATTGCTGAAATGTATTTAAATCAGTCGGCTTATTAGTGTAGTATGAGCTAGACTTTATAATTCTTGAGTCCAATCAAGGTTAGCCTCCTTAAAAAAATAACTGTTGTATTGTAAATGTTGTATGAATATTTTAAAAGGACTTGCTTAATAAATGTCAACAATTTGTCTTTTTATTAATGCTCAAACGCTGAAGTTTGTTTTCTTCTTGATTTTTTCCCAGAGGTATTGTTGCCAGCATTTTAGTTTTCTTGTGTTTTGGAGTTACACAAGCTAAAGATGGGCCATTTTCAAGACCTCATCCAGGTAATCAAAATTGTACACCGCATTCAAAATTTCTGATAAAATAACTCCTAAAATTATAGATAAATTTTGAAAGTAGTAACTTCTATTACATGGCATATGTCCACTGGGTAAAAGCTACTTGTTTCATTTACAGACTATAGCTAAATGTTGAAGGGCATCACCTGAAATTATATGTGTGGTCACTTTTAAGACAACATGTGGAATTCTGTGCTCATTGTAGAAGTAGGTCTCATTGAACTCAGTAGAATTTTATGACGCATTGGTATTGTTTGCACATAATGGCAAGAAATTCTAGATTAATTAACAAACAGTTTACTGTGATGTCTGTGGACTGATTAGAGTTGCTTTGTGATATCTGAACCCAAGTATTATAGGTTAATTATGGGTTAAAAAGCCACAGTTAGCCTTACTAATTTAAGATTACCTGTGTGTTGTTTAACCCATAATTAACCTGTAGTTAATCTGTAGTTCAGACATTATGTGGAAAATCCTGACTGGCCCAGCCAGGAACTGCATTTTCAGAATGGCTGTGGAATGTACCCAGCATGTGCTGCAGCAAATTGTAGATTAATCAGTCCACAATTTGTAGTCATTATGTTTGAATCAAGTCATCATCAGTCATTTGTTCTACACTTTATACCTGAAAGAGGATTTTCTTCTCTTCCCTATCCCTGGGAGTTAGAGTAAAAGGAGGAAGCCAGATTCGTGCTTGTCTTGATTCAAGTAGCACAATCATCATGGGTAGAACAACACCTAGAACAATAGCATAGGCTGTTCAGGTGGTGTGTTGCCTGTTAAAAAGATGCACTGGAGAAATCCATCTGGGTTTGAACAACATGACAACCCATTATAGATTCCTGCACATGATGGATTGTTGCATTGTGTGAACCCAATCACAGTCTAGTCCTGTGAAGTGTTAAAGAGATATTTAACTTGAGTTAAACATAATCTGTAAGAAATACACCCAACAACTGAAATTCATATACTCTAATTTTCTTCCTTTGTCTCAAGCCTACTGGAGATTTTGGCTGTGTGTCAGTGTTGTTTATGAGCTTTTCCTCATTTTCATACTCTTTCAGGTAAGAATATTTTTAAAGACTCTCCAAGAAAGCACAACTTTTCTAATGCAACCCTTTGTTAACAGTGGCCCTATTACACAGGAAAAAATCTGTTTTTCTGACATGTTGCTGTTAAATTGTGCATTACTGTTCCTTGATGGCAAAGTGCCAGTTCTTCACCTTTATCTCAAATGCAAGAGGATCATAATTAGCTTGGTTCTGTGTTTTGAGCAGAAACAATGTATATTTTCAGTAAGTGCCTGCTCTGGAGAAGGATGGAAATATAAAGGAGGTGTAGGCATGGGGTGCTACATACGCAGAGTTAGAAGGCAGCCAAATGTGGGGACTGATTGATAAAATTACTTTCCGTGAGTCGTATCAGTTTAGATCAGGGTAGGCAACCTTTGTGGATCTGTGGGCACATTTGGAAATGTGGGAAGATCCAGGGCATCACCACAAAATGGCTGTTAAGGGAAGCTTGGTGCTTACAAAGGCTAGTCACTGCATAACCCTGAAGTGTTCTTAGGAAATGAAGATGGCATCTGTCAGAGGCCCTCAGTTTGATTTGAAGGAAATATAGCTGCCAATAAGAAAAGTTGGGGGTAGAATTCTTCATTGAGCACCAATCACTGTGTCCAAGGGCCATCGGCACGACATTGCTTACCTGTGGTAGAGATTATACACCTTCTATTATATAACTTTTATTTTAAAGCAGTGAATGGATACCTAAATTTCTTCAGTTTTGTCTCACAGGTTATCAAGCCAAATGTGTACATTCTTTTTACTCCATTAAAAGCACTTGACCATTTCCTCTGTACTTTCACCTTAACAAATGTTAATAATAACTTTTTGAAAAGACTTTCACATTCTGTTGTATTTTAGAGCCTGTCTTAACTATTTCTAATAAATATGTTTAATTCTGCAGACTGTTCATGATGGAAGACAGTTTATGAAATTCATTGATCCTAATTTGGGGGTTCCCTTGCCAGAAAGAGACTATGGTGGTAATTGCCTTATTTATGATCCAGACAATGGGACAGATGCCTTTCACAATGTTTGGGTGAGATACTGACTGGAGAAATCTTACATAGTTGACAATACATTTATACCCTAATAGTTTGTGTTTGTATGGTTATCATGTGCACATTGATGTGGGTTTTCCAGAAAAAGTAGAACTAGAAATTTTTCCAGTCCTCTAAATAGTGATTTCCAGCATTTCTTTGTAGGAGTTCCTCCATGTGTCTTGTATTTTTTCAGGTCAGTTTCTGCCTAAATGCTTCTCTGTTCTTGTTGCATTGTTAACATACTCCTGCCCACTTTTACATTTGCCAACTAGCTTTCCTTCTTCTGTTTTCTTCCTTAGTGATGCCATGCACAAGACTTTTTGTGTTTCAGCATTATGACTTAGCTCAAAGTAACTACAAGCACTAGATGGCTAAAGGATCTTATGAAAACACTTCTAACTTCCTGAGTTCAAGAGAAGGAGTAAGGCACTTTTCTGAGGAAAGTGAAATAGACAACAATCACAGTCTTCATTTTAGTTTCAATTTTCCTTCAGTTTGTTATTCAAGTGTGTTAGCAACAAAGGACAAATATACGATATATAAATATGGTCCAAACCCAGTTTGGAGCCAACTCTGTTGTCCACTGGAAGAAGTTCTCATACTTTATTTTTCAGTTCTGTCATGGACAAGTGAGCATTGGAATGCAACAGTGCTTGCCTTAGAAAAATATAGAAGTTCATATCCTATCACATGATAAGACATCTAACATTGATTTGCAGTACAACAGCCCAGACAATTATGGATATATTTACCCTACATGGTGTGGAAATTTTTCCTAGAAAAAAAATAATAGCATCAGAAAATTTTCTATTTTGGACCATTTTTCACCCCATGCTACTACATGTGCATGGCTATTGGTGCTTAATCCAACATCATCTGGAATATGTGTTCTGTAATTCTATATGTGAAAAGGCAAAACTCCTTGAAGAGGACAGTCATGCGAGGGAAATTTGAAGGCAGAAAACAAACAGGAAGACCAAATATAAGATGGATTGACTCCATAAGGGAGGCCACAGACTTGAATTTACAAGAGCTGAGCACTCCCATGTCCTGTCATGGATAGGACATTTTAGAGGGCTTTCATATATAGGGACATCTTAAGTTGGAGAAGACTTGATGGCACATAACAACAACAGTGAAATTCATACAGCTTTTTGAAAATTTCAAGCTTTTTTAAAAAAAATATGAGTTCCCAACCCGTTTCTCTGGTATGATAGGCTTGAAAGTGAATGTCTAGTGAAATAGTAGAAGTCAGAATAGTGGCTGATTGTGCTTTTTGATGCTCAGGTGTTGAGGCTTCAGCGGCCTGCATAGCTATTTGCCTTTTCCTAGGGGAAAAGCAGCAAAAATTGTGTAAAATATGCAAAATGATGCAAGTCCTACTAATTTCTTGATTTATACAGTTCTTGGATTCTTGGTGCAGGATTTTTGTTTTATTCTTTTAGATAACACAGAGTATACATATTCTGCTTATATGCTCCAACTAAGCTCTGCATTGACAAAACCATGCTATCTACTAATTGTGCACTTTAGAAGTGGGGGGGGGGGGTAATTCTGTGGGATTATCACCCACTAGATGGAAGGTTTAATTTCACAGCCTTCTGAGTATTTGGTGAAATGAATAGATTCTTAACATTTTTTTTTTCTTGTGACGTATGCTTACATACTGGGAGGGCTGTGTTGTTAACCTTCAGAGAAGACAAGGCAAAGGACAGGCCATTCCAATGTAAAAAGGGAATAGAGACTCTGGATGGAAAAGGTTCTTTAGTAGTGGTGACCTGCAAAGTCAGTACCACTTTTGGTTTCTTGCCTGATATCAGTATGGCCTATATGTGCAACAGATACAAGCTGGAAGAGAAGTGGTGAGAATGCAGGATGTGTTCACTCTCAAGGGAATACAAGAAGATGAATGGTTCTTAGAGAGACAGAGCAGTAGAACTACAACAGCAGTGTGTAGTACAGGATCTAGAAGAACAACAACAAGCTAAGGTAGAAGAGGAGAATCCTGAAGCAAGGGAAAGTGACATATGGAAAATTTGTTAGTCGGGGGGATAGTTAGGAGCAGAACTGGAAGACACTCTGCCCCAGTGGAAGCAGTGGAACTGTGAAACTCCTTTCAGCTACCTGAGGATGAGACTGGGGAACAGCCTGTAGAGGAAAAGCTATGGGGCATCCCATGCAGGAGCACGCATGAGCCTGAAGGTCAGCCAAGCAGAAGTAATGAAACCAAGGTCTACAACAAAAAGAAGAGTTGCTGTTGTAGGAAATTACCTGCTGTTGTGAAGACTCATGGACTCTCCAGATATGCTCTGTCTCTGAAGAACGAATTATCAATGTGACTGAAGGGTTTCCAGCACTCATAAAGCCCACTGATACATGTCCCTTTCTTCTCAACCATGTAGGAGCAAAACAGCAGAGAAATTTGAAGACTTGGAAGCTTTGGAAAGGAAGCTCAAGAACTTTGGGGGCCCAGATGGCTTTCTCATCCATCCTTTCAATACTTATAAGAGGAATAGAAAGGAAAAGAAAAATGCTCCAGGTGAATGCCTGGCTATGAAGGTAGTGCTGCTGTGAGAAATTTGGATTCTGGGACTGTGAGCTATACTTCCTTGAAGATGGGCTGCTGGCAAGGGATAGGTTTCATCTCACAAGAACTGGGAAGAATGTTATGTCTCAGAATCAAGAAATTGATCAAAAGGACTTTAAACTGAACTCTACAGGGGAGAGAAGTAAACTTGGGCCAACTTTGGACAAAGGTTTATGCACCACGACAGGGAGAGCAATGCTAATACTTCCCAGTAATAGTCTTCCAAAAAATGTATGAAGAAAGCTAGAGTATAAAGCATGTGGTCTTTGATATCTGACTACTTATGTCCAGAGTATGGGAAAAAACAGCACAGACTTAAACTCTTAATACAGGAGAGTGACTATTACTGTATAGGTATAACTCAGAATTGGTGGGATGATTCCCATGACTGGAATTACACAATTGAAAGTTAGAGCTTGTTCAAGAGGAACACACAGAACAGTAAGGGAGGTTAAGTTGCAATATATGTCAAAGATACATAAGTCAGCACAGAAATAATGGAAGGATGTGCTTAGTAGCCCTATCAGGAGTGTCTAGATGGAGCAAAGAATAAAAGGAACATGGTTGTTGGAGACTACTACCCACCACTCCAGTCAAGGAGAAGAGGAGAATAAAACTTTTGAGAAGGAAATTGCCAGTGTTTCAAGGAGGCATGGTGTAATAATGGGGAACTTCCGTTTCTCCCTTATTTGAGAGACATATTCTGTCTCCCTTCTGAAATTGTAGGAGTGCCTACAGCTTCATGAAGGAGACTGTGACATGACTTAGGAGTGCTGAAACATTTTTCCAGATACAATAGGATCATTGTCTTATTTGGTGTTTACCTTCAAAATATACTTGAAAGCAATAATATCCATTCTTTTCTATTCCTGCTTTAGTGTTTCAGAGCTAGAGTCTTTTGCCTGCTGAAACTAAGGCTATAGAAGTGCAAGGTTTTGATTCAAGCTTCTGTGTGTTCTGGGTTTCAGAAAGCTTGGAATTTACTTTGTAATTCACAAGACTGGCATAACATTCAGGAACTACCAGTAGATTTAGAACTGTTACTCTATTTCCAGACAGCTTGGATCAAAGGATGTGGCTTTTTAGTTAGTCCATTTTTTGAAAAGCAAGATGCAAATAATTGCAGTTTCTCTGGTTGTACTGTAGGTTTGGCATTTTTGGAGGCAAAAATGGGGTGGGGTAATAATCTAACAAAAACACTTAAATTATATGGCTAGATACAGCATTAATTTTAGATAAATTAAGCACATTGCAGCCTCATTGAAATGAAATATAAACAGAATTTGGGCTTAAATAATTTGTTTCCCAAGAATGGTATTAGAATATCAAATATATCTTGAGTTAGCATTATTGTGTATCAGAATAACAGTAGGAAGATTTGTCTTGCTTTTTAAAATTTACATGTAAAAAATAAAAACTTTATTTTAAAAAGGACTAATATGTCTGGAACATCTTAGAAACTTCAAGGGAAATATTCCAAGTTAGAACCACAGTAATCCATCTGGCAGTAGTGATTGTGGTTACTTATCTTGATTCATTATATTTACAAGGAAAATGGGTCATATCTGTGTAACTTATTATTCTGCTTGAATTACAGGACAAACTAGATGGATTTGTTCCTGCTCATTTCCTTGGCTGGTATATAAAGGTAAGAATTGGTACTTTTTGGTTCAGTTGCTGTTAGCATTTGAAACTTCAGTGCTTCTTTCCATGTTGCAATGCACAAAATCAATTATATAATTCTGCCATCTGTGAAAAAGTTTAAATCATGTGTGTCCAATTTAACCAAACATGATAGGAAATAGCTTTATCTGCATTCCGTCTTAAATGCCAATCTGTTTACAGATAGTCATTTTATACCTTTAGATATATAAACTCAAATAATTTTTCCAACTCCTTTTAGTATTTTAATGCATACACAAGTAGGCTGCATTCCTGTGAACAATTACCTGGGAGAATGTTCCATTGTTCTCAGTGGGATGTACTTCTGAGCAGATGTGCATAGCATAAATTATTTCCATATAAGATTCACCAAGTGCAGTGAGCATGAGGAGTTCTAGTTATCCTAGCTTCACAACAAAGTATCAAAATAAAAAGTCTTTTTGAGCAGGTGAGTTAAGCAACCAAGAAGAAATAAAGTTGTTACTAAATTAGCTCAGGTAATAATGCATAAATCATCATCTGATGCTAAAAGAAGGGCATGGCAAAGGAACTAAATTCTAGAAGGGTAACTGTTCACAAACATACAGTTGGGAACTAAGTCTTAGGGAAGTCCAGTAGAATCCAATATGAACTTACACGTCCTACAATTTTCTTCAAATGATTCCTGAGTGGTTTCAAAGAACATCACGTAATTAAAATGAAACCAAAGTTTGGAAACGGACAGTAAAATTAATATATAGTTTTAAATAGGCAAGGCTACTGTATAGACCTAACTAGTGGAAGAGCCGCTTGTAAACAAAATATGCAATATAGCTTCAACTCAAGCTCAGCATAGGCAAGGTCTTGTGCAGCAACTCATACATTCAAGTTCAGAAATAGACCCACCTTAAGTTGAGAGTTGCATCTTTTCATTCATTTTAAGCAAACAAAAGCAAAACAAAGTGGTGGAAAGTGTACACTGAGGCAAGGTCAGTGACTCAGCCACTTGCATTCCCAGGGGAATTCAAACTACTTCCTTTTCTTAATCACCTACCCATTGTCTATTGCCCTCTCTAGTGGCTTGTTGTCAGCTATACCCTAACCTGAATAGCAGATTTCCATTCCCTAGATTTGTGCTCATTGGAATCTATTGTAGAATGGTAGGTGAGCTACATGCCCCCCTGCTTTTTAAATGAGAGCCTCTAATCTGATTGGCTGCAACAACAGTTGGGGCAATCTAGCTAGAGCTGTGTAAGGAGACAGGCTTGCAAAGGAGCTCAGTGTCCTTAGTGTGAAGTACCTGAGCAAGTTCAGCAGTGTGATGAGGCTAGGGTAGTTGAATCTCCCCTTCCTTTCCTGATAAATAAAACTTAATTTCCTGCCTTCTCTTAGTAATTAATTTAGTTTTCCAGGTAAATAAACCCAATAATAACAATCAGCTATGAAGGTTGAAAAGCTTGCAAGTACATGAGGACTATCCAGAATATTGCACTGAATGCCATATGTATGACTGTCTGGACAGCTTGGTATTATGGATTCCTGACTGTTAAGGAACAAATTAATTTGCTTAAAGCCAAGGTTATTGACTTAGAGGGGTAGACCAAAACAGAGAGCTTGATGAAGTGGGGACATAATGGTAGTGTTCCAATCATTAGCAGCAGTTGAGAAACTTGTAGAAAGTTGAAGGGGTAAATCAAGAGGGTAAACAAATCCCTGCAAAATGTTTTCAGAAACTCAGCTAGAATCTATTCCACACATTAGGGAAGGTAGCACCAAGTCCAGCAGGTTACCTGCATTGTTAATAGACATAGACACAGTCATGAAAGTTACTAGAGAAAAGAAGGCTTCCTTCAGAAAATGGAAAACTTGCTTAAATGAGAACAAAAAGAAATACATAATTGCACAAAGTTAATGCAAGCAGACAGGATGTGAGATACAAAAAACTTTTCGAGGAGCATTTTATTAACAACAAGGCCAACAATAAACAATTGTTTAAATATATCAGAAACTGGAAACTAGGTAGGGAGGCAGTTGGACAATTGGATGACCAAGTTTAAAGGAGTACTTTTTTATGATGAGACTGCTGAGTTATCTTAGGGTACAGTGCTGTGCCCCAATTGATGTTCTTTAGCTCCTGACCTTGGAGGTTAATGTGCATCTGATGCATGAAGTGAGGTATGCTGAGAGCAATCTCTGTTGCTGCCATGTGCCTCATTTAGTACATTTCATCAAAATGGCTGGGTTTTTTTGCTGTCTAGATGAAGCAGTGCAGAGTGAGGGCAGGGAAGATTGAAGGCCATCTGTAAATGGTGTAAACCTTTGGCCCCAGTCTCCTTCTTTTCCTCCCCTACCAAGTTGAAAGGCCACAGGATTGTGCCCTTAATCTGTAGTAATTGCAGATGATGTAGGAGAAATAAGTGTGCCTGAACTGAAACTTGCAGCAAGGAAGTCTGAGGAACCAAGGCAAATGTTGGTGACAAAAGATGAAGTTCTCTTGTTTACAAAATGAAAGCAAATAAATCTTCAAGTCAACATGGTATCCAACCTGGAATTCTTAAAGTACTCAAATTTGAAAATGCTGCTCTTCTAACTAAAATATATAACATATCCATAAGATCAGCCTCTTTACCAGAAGACTGGAGAATTGCTAGTGTAGCATCCATGTTTCAGAAAGGATCCAAGGGACATCTGAGAAATTACGGGTTAGTTAGCTTAAGATCTGTCTGGCTGAATTGATTGAAAACATTAAGTAAAATATAGATTAAAATATAAAAGGACAAGCCCTTCTGAAAAAGAATAATATTGGCTTCCACAAAGGTAAGTCTTATCTAACTAACCTTTTAGAGTACTTTGAAAGTGTCATTAAATATGTGCAGCAATCTGATTGAGTAGACATTGTTTCCTAAATTTCTAATAGTTTTCTCCAAAGATTCCTGAGCAAATTTAGCAATCATGGAATAAGAGAAGACACCCACCAATGGATCAGTAACTGGTTAAATAACAGAAAGCACAGGGTAGGAATAAATGGTAAAGTCTTCCAGTGGAGGGATATAACCAGTGAGGTTCTCACAGGGATGTGCACAGGGACTAGTGTTTTTCCAATGTGTTCATAAATGATATGGAGTTGGGAATGAGCAGTGAGGTGGCCAAGTTTACTGATGACATCAAATTATTTAGGATTATGAAGAGCTCTCTAAACTGGGAGAACAGGTATCAAATGGCGATTGTGGTTCAGTGTAAGCAAGTCTAAAGTAATGTATGTTTGGGGCTGGGGGAGGGGGGAATTCCAGCTGAGCTAGCTAGATCTTGAGGTTGTGGTGGACAGTTCTGTGAAAATGTCACCTCAGTGAAAAAAGCAGATTCCATGCTTGGCCTAAAATAAAACTGCTAATATCATAATGCCTTTGAATAAATCTATGGTGTGACCACAGCAGGAATACTTCATTTAGTTCCACACCTAGAAAAGGATATTATATAGCTGGGGAAAGGGCAGCAAAAATAATAAAGGAGCTGGAACCTCTTCTGTGGGGAAAGATTAAAAAGCTGAGACTATTTAGCTTAGAAGAACAGTGAGACAGGAGAGACATGATGGAGTTATCCATGGTATAGAGAAAGGATTGGGAGACATTTTTCTCATAATACTAGAACCCAGCCAATTCCATTTAAGCGATTGGTGGGAGATTCAGCATAGAAGTACTTCACATAATACATAATTAAACTATGGCATTCACTACCACAAAATATAGTGATAGCCACCAACACGAGTTGCTAAAAAAGGGAATTAGACAACTGCATGGAGGATATGGCTATAAATGGCTATTAATCCTGATGGCTAAATGCTTCCTCCAGTATCAGAAGCAGTGTGCCTATGTATACCAGTTACTGAGAAACATGAATGGGAGGGTGTTATTTCACTCATGCCCTACTTGTGAGTTTCCCACAGGCAATCAGTTGGCTACTGTATGAATGTCAGAATGTTGGGCTAGATAGACATTTGCTCTGATCCAGCATTGTTCTCCTTATGTGACTTATAAAAATTGCTTGTTTCTAGGCTGTGATGAAGCTAACACACACACATGTTCAGACATGCATACAGTGTAAATAAAAATGCAGCTCTGCCTAATACGCCTTTTGTAAACTGCCCAGAGAGCTTCAGCTATGGGCAGTATAGAAATGTAATAATCATATTTCATTTCATCATGCCACCACAGTGATTTCACTTTGTACATGTTGCTTAGGAAGCACATCAGGCATAATTTTAAGGTTTCCTCTGCAAGTGTTAAAGCCAGAATTAATTTCTTGTGATTATATATAGTGTGACTTGCATTTAATTTTTCTAGTCATCAATGACTAAACTCTTGCCACTCATCTGAAAAGAAAACTTCTGCTGACTGATAACTTCAGCACCATATTTTGCTGCCTCTGCTGTGCAGAGTGGTTGGAAGCCCAGTTTGGATCTTTGTGCCTTTGTAGGTGGTGTTTGCACTAAATTACCACATTTAATCCCCAGAAGCCTCTGCAGATGCATGCTAAAAAAAACATTTGCCCTTCTTTTAAAATATTTTAAATAATGTACACACACATTCTGTTCACATGTAATGACAACCCATCACTTTAAAACTGATAAAATTGTCATGTATAAGTAGATGCTTATCTTGTTTTACTGTAAAACTCCCAGTTGGCTCCTTTATAGGTTGTACAGTGTAGTGTAGGAGACTCAGATTCCAGGTTCTTCAGGGACTTAAGGGCAACGTAACAACAAACCATGGGTTAACCACTGGGCATTTAAGGCCCTAAATAATCCAGCAGTGCAGATTTGCATGCCACTCTGTGCAGCCTACAAAGTAGCTAATCATGAGTTGCCCATGAAATGGAAGAGGCAGGAGCACTACAGGCACAACAGAACCCATTTTTATTTTAAGTGGACAGCTTATCATTACAAGTGAGCCAGGTCACTGTAAATGCAGTTATGTAGAGCAGACATTCATGCCTATCAGTCATAACAAATATTAGCCTCTTGATACCATAAATATCAGTATCTGAAAGCTAAATTCCTTCCTATGATTTTCCATAAAATAATGGAAGAGCACCATTTTGTTAGAATTTAGGGCAGAGTTTATTCAACTCTGAATTGCTAGCATCTTACATTCTTTGCAAAATTTGTTTGGAACTTTAATTTCATATTGGTATAAGGAAGCTGTTTTATGTCTTTGAGCCATGGATTAGTTACCATATTTAAATACATTTCACAGTACAGGATTGTACTGTACCATCTGTTGCAAAAACTTTGCATATTGTTATTGGCAACATGTTTTTCCTGACAACAACTGACTTGAGAGGTTATAATTTAACATCCTTGACTTTAACAACTTTAACATCATTGCAACTTTGGGAAAATGCTTTCTTAACATAAAGAACTTAATATGAGGGGTAGTCACACGTTACATTCAGTGTGTGTACATGTGTACACAGATTGCTGATCTGTACGCATGTATGGTTATTCACACATAATGGAGTGTACATGTGCTCTTACAGGGGTTTCTGGATGATATCCCAGTATCATTTTGTCTACCAAAGGGCATTCCTTCACCTAGAAGAACATGTGACAGAATACTGTAATCCTTACATTGCTGCTGCAGTATTCAAACTTCTTGATTAACAAAGAGTAATTTTTGCATCTGCAGTAAGTGGTTTTTGGTTGTCTCTTTAATTTAATCAATCTCATAAAAGTACTGCTGCTACTCTTGTTTACACAGAAATACATCTGTGTGTATTCACTGGGGCTTGCATAGGATTGTGCTCCTTGGAAAAGTTACCAGTTCTTCCTAAAACATTATGAAGACATGTTGTCCAGTTATGTATAACTTTGCTGTTCAATTTTACCTGTCCAAGAAATCACTACTATGAAATTTCTAGCATTTTTAATTTGTTTTTCAGCATTTTAAAAATCCACTGCTAAAGATTTATTTAATTAATGAGAAAGATAGGAGGAAAGTATTGGGATAATTCTGATATACAGTTTAAGGTAAATAGTGAAGCAAAATAAAATTAAATGATGGACTCCAATCAATTATCCACTTAATGAGCAATTAGCCCTATCTGTTGCAGCACAGCCCTGGGCTGGAATGCAGTTGTAGGAGTTGGTCATTCACTTCCTGGATACAGAGCTGTTACTGGATAAACAAAGAAATCTGTATTGCATTCTACAGTGCAGCATTCACATTTTAATACAAACAGACATAGTTTATGCATTCTAAACTAATATGCAAGCTAAGACACAATGTTTTTGATTTCTTACATCTCTGAATTTTGTGATGCTCTTCTCTTAAAAAATTGCATGCATTAAACAATTGCATATAGAAATTAACATTTTCTTGTGTAAGAACATATTCACTAGGGGAAAATGTTTGCCGAAATAGGTGTATTAGGGAAAACATATACATAATTGCATATGCATGTTTGTGTGTATGAAAATGCATATACATTTTTGTGTGGACCTAAAAATGTTTTTGCAGACCGTGGCAGAAATTGGAATCAATGTGTTCTTGAACAGGAATGAATGATATAGAAATCAAAACAAACAAATTAGTCCATCCCTACTGTATGCCTACAAGCCTTTGTCACTTTTTAAGTCTGGATTTCAGCTTCAGGGACTGTTCTGAGCCCTTTGTGGAATACATTGGATAACACTCTTTCAACAGGTTTTGATGATGAGTAGCTAAGATTCGGAATAATCTTCAAGATTAACTTTCTTTTGTTTTTTACAACTTGTTCAGACACTCATGATTCGTGATTGGTGGATGTGCATGATTATCAGTGTAATGTTTGAATTTCTGGAGTACAGTCTAGAGCATCAGCTTCCAAACTTCAGTGAATGTTGGTGGGACCATGTAAGTACCAGTCTTTAAAGAAATAAAATGTTTTAAGATGTCAGTGTACCAGATTCCTCTGCCAATAAATTGTTAGGGCCCAATTCTATGGTCAATGTTTTTTGTTTGTTTTTTTCTATACTGTTGTAGCTCTCTGGGCAGTTTCCAACAGACAAAATACAATAAAATACATAAAATCAGAAATACATTAAAGTTTAAATTAGCTAGAACCAACAAACAACAAAGAAAGACTCAGTAAAACACTCAGGATGGGCAATCCTGTCAGGACTCTGGTACCTAGATATGTCTTTAAAAGCCTTAACATAGAGGACTGTGTTAGCCTGCTGCCATAAGGATGACAGATTTGGCACCAGTTGGGCAACAGTTATGGGAGGTTCTTGCATAAGTAGCAAGCCACCACAGAGAAGGCCCTTTCCCTTGTTGCCACTCTCCATGCTTCCCTTGGAGTTGGCACTCAGAGGAAACCCCCTGAAATTGACTGTAGTATCTAGGTAGATTGTGGTTAGGAGAGGCAGTTTGGTCTTAAGCTGTGTCAGTTTTTACAGGTTAAAAGCAGCACTTAGAATTGGGACTAGAAATATACAGGCAGGCAGCGCAAGCAGGCCAGAACTGGTCATGTGTGTTTAGACCTGCAGGTCCCAGTTATTAATTTGGCTGTTGCATTCTCCTTCAGCTACAGCTTCTGAACCATCTTCAAAGGACAGTCTCATGTAGAGTAGATTGCAGTTATCTAATTTAGAGATTACCAGAGTGTAGATTTCTGAAGCTGGGCTATCTCTGTCCAGATAGGGGTGTAGCTGAGCCACTACCCAAAACATACTGACGGCAGTGCACTCCAAACTCTGAATGATCCCATTCAGTGGTCTGATGTAGATGCTAAATAGCATGGTCAGGACAGACCTCTGAGGAACTTCATTCTGGAGAATCCACAGGACTGAACAATATTGCCCAAGGACCACCTTCTGGAGAAAGCCCTCCAAGTAGGAGCAGAATCACTGCAATATATTGCCTCCCACTCCCAACTCAGTTGTCCCAGAAGAATACCATGAGGGATCCAGCAGTATCAACAGGGTCATACTTCCTGTCTTTGTCCTGACATAGGTCATCATACAGGGTGATCAAGGCTGTTTCCATGCCAAAACCAGACCTGGAACCCGACTGAAACAGATCCAGATAATCAGTCTCATCTGAGAGTGCCTGGATTTGATTGGCAACCATCCTCTCAAGAAACCTGCCCAGGAAAGGAATTTACTGCTGGCCTACAGTTATTCAGCTCTTCCAGGTCAAGGGGAAATTTCTTCAGAAGTAGTCTCACCACCACCTCTTTAAGGCAATATGAGATCACTCCCTCGCACAATGAGGCATTAATCACCTTTCTGGTCCAGCCAGATATTCTTTCCTTGCTGGCTTATAGGAGGGGCAAGGATCCAGTACAGAAATGGTTGCATGAACCTGTCCAAGCACCTTGTCCACATCCTTGAGCTGTATCAAGTGAATCTTGTCCAATAAAACCAGAGCAGGCTGTGCTCTGGATACCTCTACAGATTCAGCAGCTTTAACACTAGAGTCCAAGTCCTGACAGATGCAAGCAATTTTTTCTTGGAAGTACACAGCAAGGACATTACAGTGGGCCTGAGATGGTTCCAAGATAACTCTGGGGTCAGAATGTAATAAGGTACAGACAACCTTGAAAAGTTCCACTTGGGGCTGGAGGGAAGAATGAATTTAGGACAGTGGGATAGTGTTTCTTTGCCACTCTCACTGCCTCAAAACATACCCAACTGTAGGCACACACCAGGTTGCTGTTACATTTGCTGGGAATTTTCCTCCATCTGCACTCAAAACTGTCTGCTAAGTTCTGTTGTACTCAGTTCTGCGATGTACCATGAGCAAAGAGGAGATGAAAAGCTCTTGCTTTCCTTTTTTTTTTTTGGTAACTTTGACAAGATTCATTGAAGCTCTGACAAACTGTGGTTAGTCTTAACTGTGATTAACAAAAGAAGCCAACTTCAAAGACTGGTTTCCAAAGCTGGTTTGTTTCAATACATTGTAGTAATAATTGTCCACAGTTTATTCTGACATAACTCAAAACTGGTTAACCAACACCAAAAGCAAAAACATCTTAACTTCCTGTCTGCGACAGGAATATAAAAGTATACATGTATTAAGTATTCAATTAAAAAAAAACAATACCAGGTCAACTTCATACAAGGATACTACAATTCAAACCACAATCTGTAGACAGAGGAAAGGTAGGGGAGTGCTATGTTAACTAAATATTGGAAAATAGATGTTTAAAAAAAGGCTTGTTTTTTTAATGATACATTTGAGGATTGAACAATGGAGATATGGCAGAACAGGGAAGGCCATCAAAGAAGGAATCGAAGATGAAGTGAAAGTTTCAAGCCTAGGGAGAAAGAATAGATACATCTTGACAGAAGGAAGTATTCATAACAAAGAGTCAGCTGGCCACAAGCTTCACACTTTAAATTTGGTAGACATATCATAGTATAGGAAGTAACAAATTGATCATCAGAGGAACCCCTTAATGTCACAGCAAAATGCCTTGCAATATAAGTTGAACAAATAGGGAATTATCAGAATATTGAATGGGGTAGAGTAAATTATTAATATTTATGAAGAAGTAACATACTAATTTTATAGATGAAATCATTTCTTGAATTTTATGAACTGAGAATCATTCATAAAAACATTCTGTCTTGTCTAAAGATTTATTATGTATTGAAATCATTTAGAAGCACACCTCAGAGATCTTTGGGGTATTTTAGAATTCCTGGATAATGGAAGCATATATAAATTATATGCAGTGCTTTTTTTGTAAAAAAAAAAAAAGGTGCCGGAACTCACATCGCCGCCAGCAGTAAGCACTCCGCGCGCAACCAGACACACCAATCCCAAGCCGGGCAGCGTGGACACAAACGCCGCCTGCAGGCACTATGTTAATGATGTTTGCTGCTGACCTGCTATTCCGACAAACGATTCAAAATCACTTCGTAAAATCCATTGGAAAAAAAGGTGCTGGAACGCCGTTCCGATGCATTCTATGACAAAAAAAAAGCCCTGATTATATGTATAGAAATATGCATTGTTACTATGATACAAAGATCTGTGCTGGTTGCTTAAATTTGTCTTTCTTGCTTTTTTCAGTGGATTATGGATGTAATCATATGCAATGGACTTGGCATTTACTGTGGAATGAAGACTTTAGGGTGGCTTTCCTTGAAAACATATAAATGGCAAGGACTTTGGAACATTCCCACATACAAGTATGTTACATCTTGTATGTTGCAAGATTTCATACCTGAAACAGAAAAATGTAACTCTCAAGAGCTTTTACTTCTACATAAGCAGATATGTCCGAAACCTAATTTGTGGGAGATAAAAGCAATTCATTCTGATGTAGACTAGAATTAAGCTAGGATAAATGCATAATAATTGCAATATTTGTAAAAACAAGTTTTTTTAAAAAAATCCATAACACTAGAAATATATAAGATAAATATTTAACTTCTCTATGGATGTTGATAAAATTGTATCAGTTGACTTCTATGTATGGGAGAAGAGGGAGAGGCAGTGTTTGCTTGTCTTTTATGTTATGCTGGGCTATAAAAACTGAGCATGACATAGAATATATTTTCCTTGAACAAAACTGTTGCTTTCAAGTTTATATTAAGTGCATCTTGAAATGCAGTGTTTCAAGCAAACATCTCTGCTTTGCTAAGAACCAAATTTTAGCATGAGGTATAAAAGCTTAACCAAGTCAGTTCTGGTGATTTTAATCTAAATGCTTTCTTAGAAATCTTTAACATTTCCCATGTGCTAATTCAGAAGTCATTACAGGTGTGTGTTTTGAGGCAACACTGCTTCCAAGGACCAAGTTTCCATATTAACCATTTACAGAATAAACAGTATTACTAGTGATTCCATTTCTTACATAGGAACTGGCATAGCTCATACTCAGTTCTAAACAAATTCATGCATCAGGTGTGACAATATCATTGACTCTGGTTTATTAGCTGTTAACAGAGGCCACACTTCATAGCTGAGTTGGGGTCAAAGCAAAATTCAGCCCTCCCGGAACCACTGATTCCAGGTTATAATAGGAAATTTGTTTGCTCAGGAGAAAGCAAGATTAGCTTGCTTATTCAGAATAATTCCCTGCATGACTAATTAGATGTAAGCAAGATGAAATCACTCAGCAGCTTTTTTAAACAGCATATTAACAGCACCCCTCTGACTGGCTAATCAGAAGTAACTGTGACTATCATGTCTACTCAGAAGTAAGCAGAATAAAGCTTAGAAGGAAGCAGGACTGAATCAGTAGCTTTGTACCTTGGCCCCATCCCCTCTGACCCTCAGGGAAAAGTTATTCTCTCTATTCAGCACCAGATTAGAGATAACAAGTGCTTTTTCCTGCTAAGCACTGAATGGAGGTGGCAGGGGAATTGGGGAGAGGGGGATCCCTAAACAAGGAAAAACATTTATCTCCAGTTAGTTGCTAAATGGCAGTTAGAGCTTTTTCCTGATGACTGAGTGGATGGGATCAGAAGACACTGCTGAGAGGATGGGGAAGGCCTTGTCAGGCCTGTGGCCAGAGGATCTCCAAACTTAATGCTTTTGGCATTATGTGTATACTACTGTTGTAATGCAAGGAGTCACACATAAATGTGCAGATGAGCATAAATGTTCACAACTCTGACTGATGCTCATTTTTCATAACTCCATAGACGATCTATTAACTTCAGCCTTTCTACCTAACTCATAGCTTAGTATTTAACCAAATTCCCAAATGTATCCTCAGCATCCCTCAGTCAGAGATTTCTTTGGGGTTACAGCACAGACTCTTGACAATTTAAATAGATACTGAAATGTAAATGATAATTTGGCATGCACAGAGTTCACACCACAGCAACAACATGAGGTACTTATGTTTTTCTCCCCTAGAGGTAAAATGAAGAGGATTGCCTTTCAATTTACACCATACAGCTGGGTTAAATTTGAATGGAAGCCAGCATCCAGCCTTCGCAGATGGCTAGCAGTCTGTGGTATTATTTTTATAGTAAGGAACACTTTCTTTCTTACAGGTGCAACAAATGGACATAGCTATTCTAAAATGGTTCTTGTCATCTTATTTCTGGTGTTTCTCAATTGGTTCACCCTTTTAACCTGTTACTATATAATTTGCTTGATAATGTTAAGTTTGTAAGTAAGCAAAATGTCAGTTTGCCCCCAAGAATTGCCCCCCCCCCCACCTGGCCTGCTCTGTCTCTGGGTGTAATGGCCTTGGCACTTCAGCCATGAATTCCAACCCTATTTCTCTTACTTCTGTATCATAATCAGAGTCAACAACCTTTAATGGCTGCATAAGGGGAAAAGTGGCCCCAATCCCTACTCCGGGAGACCAGTTCCATCACAAGTTAATTACAGGAACTGGCTCTTGAGCTGCTTGGCAGGAACAGCAAAACACCCTGCCACTTTGTGATCTTGCCCTTGCTGCTGCAGTGACAGCACTTTGGAGTGAGCGTCACTGGTCTGACACCTTCTTTCTTTTTTCTTTTTTAAAAATTTCATTCACTGTTTTACTTTTCATTTTCCCTTTCTTTTAACCTGGGGGTTTTTTGGCTTGAAAATTGTGCAACTGTGTTCACTAAGGTTTTTTGTTTTTGTTTTTTTTTAACTACAGTTGCTTTTGTCAGATTTTCAGAGGTGCACAAGTTTAAGTTTAGGACTATCTGATATGTGTACTCTTGCCTTGTCAATCACTTTTTATGTTTCAGCTGTCAAACAGAACAGGAAAGTGGACTGGGTAACATACATGGAAAATTGCATGACAACACTGCATGTAAGCTAATTTACACTCATTTGCCAACTGTCACTTTCCTTGCTGTCAACTGAAAAGTAGCAATAATCAGTACACCATAAAGTGGTAGCAGCAATACACTCTCTTAGAATATAATCATCTGGCTTTTTGTTTTTTAAATTATTTTTAAAAAGCCTGGTGATACAGCAAAATGGGGCTGAGTGAATGGTTTTCACTGGAGGGGCAGGTGTAAGTACAGTTGGTGCTTACGCTTCATTTGTTCTATCGTATTCTGCCATCTCCATTTTTTTTAACTGTTTTGGATATTTGCACACTTTGGAGAACTGGAAAATATGCACAAATATAATAGCTGGGGGGAAAACATTGCTGGATTTCAAGATAGGGCAGTGAATGGAGGTGAGTTATGCAGGAGTTATTTCAGATGTGTAAATTACCTTTCCATTTTCTATCCAGCTGTTAAATTTGGATTTGTTTTCAAGTCCCCTCAAATGTGTATTTTTTAGAATAGCAAGAGAACCACAGTAACTGCAGCTGTGAAAAGGAGCCTTGAAATGGTGTAGGAGATACTAACTCCTTTTTCTGGAGCAGCTGGAGACTTGGGGAAGTTCTGAAAGGTAGAAGGTCCTGAGAACTATCAGTTCCACATTTAGAGGATTACATTGCTAGGTGGGTGATAATATTGCCAACCTCTTTTGATCCACTACGTTTTGTTATTTTTCCCCCTTTAGCCTATATGCAGTCCCTCCATTGTTAGCTACTCCCATTTTCCTTTGACAGCTTACAAGGCAAGATTACACATATCAGATACATACACACTTCTGCATCTCCAAAAGACCAACAACAATACAATTATGAACATTGATGCACAACTTGCAGGAACTGAAAATAACCTGAACTCAGTTAAACTATTTTTAAAGTGCCAGAAAACAATAACACCAGTGGTAAACTAAAAGGGCAGCGATTGGAGCAGGAAGCTGGAGATAAGACTGGTTATGCTGAGAAATCAACTAGAGCAGTGGTTTTCAACCACCTGTCCATGGCTGGGTGCCAGTAAGCACGAGATTTCCTGCTGGTCCTTGGAGGGGGCACATCCCGCTCACCATGGATTGGTGCAGAAGCTGGCCCTGCTCCACCACTTCTTCCTTGATTGGCATCACATTAATGGGGGGGGGGTGCGCGCCAGTGCCTCCAGGGGGGCCAGAGAGGGGAGGGATGGCTTTTTGGGACCTGGCTGGGAGCTACGCTGTGCTGATTTCAGTATTTTGTTCTTTTGTTGCCATTTTTTGTTGCTCAATTTCTGGTTTTGAAGAATCCTCCTCCTCCTCCTCCTCCTCTTTTTTGGTATTGTGTTTGACAACCAATACACAGAATACTGTATTATATGTATGATACTTTTTGTTTCTGCCTCAGCAGTCCGCAAGGTAGTTTTCCTGTTTTCACTGGTCCCCAGTTGTGGAAAGCTTGAGAACCACTGAGCTAGAGGACCCGGGGAAGGAGAGGGAGAACAAGCCACAATGAGCCTTATTGCTTGTCAGGTTCACTGTGGGTTTTTCTGCAAATAATCCATACTGCATACTTTTATTTGCAGGATGGCTTAGCATGTTATGTGAACATGGCACTTCTGGTTACAGAATGTGGGTAGACATTACTGGAGACATTGTAGACTCCAACTGGTGATGGAAGAAACTTCCTGCTTTTCAAGGGTTCAGTAACTCAGAGGTTCTTTCAAGAGGCACCTGAGAGTGGCGGTGGAACTTTGAAGTACTAGAGTAGTTGAGATTGAATTGAGCCATATATAGAAGAAGCACATACTGAAAAATTAACATCTGAACATAGAGATACATTGAATGACACTGTAAATAATGGCACGTCCAATAACTGTATCATGTTATAAAGAAAATTTAAAAAGATAAAGCACCTGGCCCAGATAGTTTTACAACATGTATTACAAATACTAAGAAGAAAAATTAAAGATACTACTTCAGAAAGTAATGAATTAATAAAAATGAATCATTGCCTTCACCATGGCAAGAAGCTTATATAACACTGATATATAAAGAAGGCAATGATCACATTTTCCACAGTTCTATAGACCTACTTCTTTATAGATTCCAAATGTTCTGAATGTGGATTACAAACTTTTTACATCAATAAAGGCAGAAGGAGTAAGAGAATGAAAGCAGCAGAAAGCTGCATTTATGTTTTTAGAGGCTGAAAAAGCATTTGACAATGTGTTTTGGCCCTTTCTACTAAAAACCCTTCATTATTTAAATTGTGGCCCATGATTCAGGAACTGGATATAGGAGTACTAGGGTAGTTGTAATGAACTTCCATTCCCTTATACATTTATATAGGGGGATTTCAGCATGCAGAAGGGAGCAGAATATGTATATGAACAATGGATGTAAATGTAGTTTTGTAGAGTGAAAAACACTCTCTAGTTAAATTTGGGTGAAGTGTGTGTACAGGGTGCAACAGATACATGCAGATTCCTATACTTTCAGGAATTATGGCACATTTTCGATTTGAATAAGCCAGAATCTGGAATTAAATGACTGAGTGGCCCATATGTGTCAGTTTTTATTGGCAGAGCTGAACACGTTTTACTTGAAATTCGTCCTGTGGATGCCACCAGAACACTATTTGGTCCTCCTGCGACTTGTTTTTTACGTGAATGTAGGAGGTGTAGCCATGAGAGAAATCTATGACTTCATGGATGATCCGTAAGTTGTTTTATTTGAGCTCAGCTGCTTTATTTAAAGAAATGGTGAGATGGATGCAACTTGGTGGTAAAATAACTGGATAATGAATGGATCAGTCTGCTGCTGCAAAGAAACCATAGTCATAACTACTTGCATTTTTAAATTTCAGACTCAAAGAATACAGTATTTACAAATACATATGCTTTGAATTGCAATGTCACTTTGCTGTGTGCTGTCCTCAGACGTGGAGTATTGCACAACAATCTGTATGATTCAGTTTCATTTGAATGCAGTTAGCCTTTGCACAGAACAGCCAGCCATGCATTGACTTTTAGATGGGACTGAATGCTATAGCTTGAGGAAGTAGTTAAGACTGAAGGGTCTAGCCATGACCCTTTAAAAATCATGTTCCTTGATATCTTCCAATGGATCTCTTTAATGTTTGCTGCTAACTTCCTGTACATGCTTAGAATTTTGCAAACGTCTGCCCTCACACAGCAATGCATGCACTAAACACCTGCCTGATTACAATTTGTTCTTTCTGCTTCATTGTTTAGCAAACAGTAGCACCCAGATCCCCAGAATTGGTTTTGTTTGTGTTTTTTGTTTTTGGCTTAGTGATAATGGAACAAATGGGCTGACCCCACAACTTTAAGCTTTTTGTCTCTCCACTCACCAGCACAAAAAGCATCTGTGTTCAGTATCTAGGGTTCCAATACTTTATGAAGATCAGTTTCACTTGCAAGTCTTTGACTTCTAGAACTGGGAAGAAGGGGCAAACCTGATAACTTAGTCGACTTTCAGGACATTCAGCAGTGACAGGCCATCCCCTGCCCCCTCGTGCTGGACCAATGATTTGGGATGTACTTCCTGCTTCAAGGTAAGAAGAGGTCTGTTTCTCATTAGTGAGCTCCTCTCCTCAGAACCCTGGCCCATCTTCTGGTCCTTGTGTTTGAGTTGAAAAAACATCTGTATTTTATTCCTTTGCCCTCTGTTCAACCACATGGCATAACATTGGAACAGGGGAGCATCATCAGTCACCGGTGCCTCATTGATTCGCTGTGTTGCCATTCTTTGCTAATGCAAGATGCAGAAACTGAAAACTTCATCCAACAAACAGATCCATCATAGGAAACTGTTCATTTATCACTTATTTCTTGCTTTCTTGTGGGTAAAGTGACTGCTGTCACTGCTTCCCAGTTCCACTAAAGTTCTACTTTCTGTATTATTTAGGTCTATGCTTATGTACAACCTGTAGTTCTCACTCATTTTCCATCTGCAGGCTTATTTGGGAGTGTCTGGGCACAATCTTCCTGAACGTAAACACAAGTGGGAATACTTCTTCCCTACCTTCCTAGTTGATAAGTATCTGTTGCACATATTGTCATGTGACTGAGCAGTTAGCTTTGCATTCTGTTTTTCCTTTTACTCATCTTATATTCACAAGTCTTTTTTCTCTGAGGTCTTTCTACTTCAGAGCTACTTAACAAAAAATGTTTTAATTTTTCCTAGAGAGTCAGTTGCATGGGTTGGGTGGTTGGCCATGGACAGTTGCCTATAATTGATGAGACAGATCACTGTCCTGCTCACATGGATAAGGCTTTTCTTGAGCTATCCCGATTCTGCCAAGAAAGGTTGTTCAGTTTAAGGCATAACAAATGGACTGTGATGTTTCTAATAAACCAAGAAAGCACCCTTTGTGGCCAGTAACAGCCTACCTTTTCTTCCTGCCCAAAGCCATTGCCAGAAAGGCAGAAGTGGCAGTGAAACTTGAGCAACATTGCTTTCTGGAAAAGGTTCCTGCTTGTGTATATGTTTCTGCTAGGAAGCTCTAGATGCCTTACAACTATAAGCAAAACTTCCTGTGAAAATGGTAAAACAGGTGTACTTAAAGCTAAAGGTTTTGCCTGCCTACATCATTATGTCTGACAAGCTAACTGTACTCTGAACAATAAGATGATGATAGCAGTGAGAGCAGCACTTAGCAACTGGGAGGAAGTTTCACTAAGAGCTGGGGGACTTGCTGACTGACAAAGGCCAAGATAGTGAAGAAGCACGTAGAACTGAACATTGAACTTTCTGGAGAAATTAAAAATAGGATGCTAGTATAGAATTGTATATTTAATCTCTGATTTTCTTTGAAGATTTTTACAACTTGTAGTTGAATCTTGCAAAATGTTTAGATCTTCCTTGGTTGTATGGTAGTCCCATGCTGCTTTTTTATTCCTACTACTTTTCAGAAGAAAGTAACTCTACAGAAATAATCTAATCAGTAGTTTCTTGCTTCTCTGAAAGTTTCAGCAAATGTAGTACTTCTGAATTCATTTTAGGATCATTAAACTTCTTAATCTTTGGTACAGTCAAAAATAAAACAGTTTTTATCTTTGAAGTTTTGAAGTTGCCTGCAACAGAGACTATTCTCAAGCACATCAAGTCAACATAAGTATATGCCCTGATTAATTGATTAATTCTGATGTTAGGAAAGCTTTATGGAATATGAGCACTGGCATTTATGTCATGTGTAACTCTTTAAGAATGGCATTTCAATAATAAATAAAAATAGATGCCGTACAAGTAATCAGCTCTGGTTGAATAAGTCTCATCCGTATGTTCAGTATATGGATTTCTAATAATCCCTTCCCTTAAAGGAGCTTTTCAGCAGAAAGCCTTCCGCTGCCGCTTCTTGAATTAGTGCTTTCCTTATTGACTGCATGCTTTGGAGGAGAGGAACATGAGAAACTTCTGCTGCTCCATCTCCATAACCAGCTTATCAGTATTGTAGGAACAGATCCAGGGAAATATGATAAATGTGATGTTTCTGAATTTGCCAAAGAATTTCCATCATATTCATTCCAGTACTTCTCAGTTCAGCCCAAGAAAGCCTGGAGAGGCAAAGAAGAAAAGTTGATGACAAGCAAACCCTGGCTCCAGACCATCTTGCCATTTCTAGGGTGAACCAAATAGACATCTTCAACTTTAATAGCCCATCAAGTATTCTCTAGTCAGGTTTTTGACTTGCTCCTAGAAGAAGCTTCTAGATATAATTGGAGGAACTTCTGCATCAACCTGTGTAGCTAAGAAAAGCAAACATTCCTTTGACTTACCTGCTTCTCTGTGATTTTCTCCCCTGCCCCTGTGAATAGAGCAGGAAAGTGAAGACCCAGTTGTTCTGTATTGCTGTTCGGTCTCTTTATTTTTTTTCAGCCAGTCATACAGACATGTTCATTATCATCCCTTCAGTCTTAAATAGATTTTTAGTTCCTTTTCAACACCATGCTGCTTTTTATTCCTTCCCCTATAGTTCTCTCATGCTCTTAACTATGGCTACCATGATTAAGTTTCACTTTTCAGTTTGTGATATGCTGAATGCTTGTAAATAGATGGAAACTTGGATTGAGATGATAGGGGAAAGTACTAGTATCAGAATGTATCAATAATGTTCTGTTAAGAAGACAACTTTTAAAAAGTAAAGACAGGAGGGGGTGGGATCAAAGCAGCTAGGGAGGATCAAGAGAAGCCATGGTTCCTTGTAAATGTCCAGTTTATGGTTGGCTAAACATGGTTTGGGTTATTTCTGTGGCTTGTTTCTCCCCAGGTAAGCAGGAGAATTAACCCATTTTTCTGCTTGTCAGCAGGGAGAGACAAGCCTAAGATTTACGTTTAGAAGATACACTAAATAGACCATAGACAAATGTTTGTAATTTGTTTAGCAATTCCTGCTGGCAGTTTGTTCTCGTATATGCAAACTTGGTCAGACTCTGTTTTACCTCTAACAGGTATGTTGCTAAGGAGAGAGCATTGGAGCTGTTTGGTCTTTTGTTATCTCAGAAACACTTTTGGCAAGGTCTGTGATGAAAAGCTGGGACCCATAGAAATTCCACTGCCTGAAAGGGTCACACACCCATTCTGCAAAAGCATGGACTGAGGACAGATCAGGATAAGCTAAAATCTAAAGACAGTGGGGGTATAAAGAACAAATCCTGTTAGCTCCAGTGCTAAACACAGTACTTAACACAAAGTAAGATTATTATTTTGTGAGGGAACTAATATGAAAAGTGAGAGACCTATCCTTTCTTCTTTGTAGTCTCTGTGCATCACACATAATGGGGGCTGTGCCTGTGCAGTGCCTGTTGCCGGGTAGAATACAAAAGCTTTAAAGGATTTTGGTGGGAACTCCACACCCTTCCCCCGTGGTGCTATAAAGGGCAGAGCGCCCACCATGATGGTGATTTGGTTGGATTCGTTCCTCTGTGTATTCCCTCTGATTCCGTTAATTACACGGACCCTAGAGAAGGCTGCCCACGACAGGGCACAGGGCATTCTTATCACACCGTGGTGGCCATGCCAGCCTTGGTTCCCAACCATCCTCAACCTCTCCCACTGAACGTTTTTCCATCTACCGCGGGTCCCTCACCTGATCACGCAGGACATGGGGGTGATCCTCCATCCTGATCTCGATTCCCTCAACCTCACCTCGTGGTTCCTTCACTGACTGCTCCCTGTCACCTACCTTCTGTCCCAGAAAACTCATCGGTCCTGAGGGCCACTACTCGTCCGTTGGTACTGGAACCATGGTCGATACTGACCGAACCTCTTCAAACCATTTCCGTTCTGACTTCTCTACAGCAGGAGATTACCTTCATACTGCAATCCGCCCTACAACCATCCACCCGCTGGTCATATGAGGCTAAGTGGAAACGCTTCACGGAGACCAACCAGTTTCCTCCTCATTCCGCTTCCATCAAAAATATCCTCTCCTTTCTGCTCTCCCTACAGCAAGATGGCCTTAAACCCACCTCAATTAGAGTGTACATCACAGCGATTCCCACTTTCGGGGCCTTTTATCTGGATTCTTGGTGTTTTCTTACATGCTCATGCGTCGCTTCCTCAAGGGATTGCAGAATCTCCAGCCACCAACCCATCCCTCGGTCCCAACCTGGAGTCTGTTGGTGGTACTTCAGGCCCTCACCAGAGCCCCCTTCGAACCATTGGTGATGAATGACCTAAGACTGTTATCATGGAAGACTGCCTTCCTGGTCACCATTACTTCCACCGGGAGAGCAAGTGAACTATTGCTCTCCACGTAGACCCACCCTACCTTAATTTTCATAAGGAAAAGGTTATCCTACGTACTGAGCCAGCGTCCCTACCTAAGGCCGCTACAGCCTTTCATGTCAATCAGGACATTGTCCTCCCAGCATTCTTCCCCACTCCCTTGACCCCGATAGAGAAATCCCTCCAGTCTCTCAATGTACGCCCATGCCTAGCCTTTTATTGGTCCCGTACCGAGAGTTTCAGAAAGACCAAGTGCCTCTTCGTTAAATACTCCGAATCCAACAGAGGTGCTGCCATCTCCTCCCAAAGGCTTTCAAAGTGGATCGTTCAGACTATCAAACTGGCATACCAGTTAGCCAAGCTGGACCTCCTGGTTGCCCCCAAGGGACATTCCACCAGAGCTGTGGCTGCCTCCTCGGCTTTTTCAGCGGGCGTCCCGCTACCAGACATTTGCAAGGCAGCAACATGGACGACTCCTTGCCCTTTCACCAGACATTATAGACTCGATGTTCGGGCCAGACTGTTCCTTCGGCCATGCCATCCTCTCTTTGATTCTCCTCTGACGACACCGACCCACCTCTGGTTGGTAAGCTTTCTAATCACCCATTATGCGTGATGCACAGAGACCACGAAGAAGAAAGGCAGGTTGCTTACCTGTAACTGTCATTCTTCGAGTGGTCATCTGTGCATTCACACAACCCGCCTGCTGGCCCCATTCGGTGTCGGAGGACAGGACAGGAGACTCTCCCTAGCGACTCCTCGAGTCATCCATGCTCTCCGCTAGGGGTTGATCTGATGGTCTCCATAGACTGGGGGAAATGGTGGGCGCTCCACCCTTTATAGCACTGCTGGGGAGTGGTGCGGAGTTCCTGCCAAAATCCGTTAAAGCTTTTGTATTCTACCCGGCAACAGGCACTGTGCAGGCGCAGCACCCATTATATGTGAATGCACAGATGACCACTCGAATAACGACAGTTAAGGTAAGCAACCTGCCTTTGTATTTTATTCATGCTTTGAGAAATAATCAATTTGTAGTTCTGAGTGAGAGGACAGCAGAAAATGAGATTCTAGGTTTAAGCAGGATGTATAGAAATCAATTTTTTAAAAAGATAAAGATTTTTTAATTTAAATTGGATTTTTAAAATAAAGTGCTTTTGAGGAAAAATCTATGTAAAGATAGTTGTCCATTCAAGAAACATTATTTCCAAAGGTTATTCATCATGAAATAAGCATTAGTTTTTTAATTATGTAGCATGAAGCTGGATATTCATGCAATGTTTACATTTGTTGGTAAATGAATTCCATTAATCCATTCAGAATGTCATGCTCTTCCAGTGGTTTCTGTAAGATTATTGGGTAATATTTCTGTCTAGAAGATATTATCACAGATGCTTGGTTTTAGAGTTCTAGAAACTGTGAATTTGTGTCTACAGAGATCACATGCCTCTTCTTCACACCAAAAATGTTGTAAAAGAAGCATACAAAGTTGAGAAAAAGACCTTAATCCCATTGTTGCTTTGCAAATCTATGTACACAGAATTTACCTCTTAAGTGCTCAGTTTCAAACAATTCATTGACTAAAAGATGATTGTTGGGAGTGGAATAGATTTGCACAAGGAACTAAGCATAACGGGGAGGGGCAAGCAGTAAAAATGAATGTGAAACCTTTTGAGCAGAATGCTCCGCTAGTCTTTGGATCTTTTTGTGCATAGCCCAAGGTTTACCATATTATTATTTTCCTGGAAGAGAAAACCTATAATGGCAGCAGGCTGTAAAAGAGGCCCAGTTTGGGAATACTTTAATGAAGTTCCTCTACCTATGGGTAAGGCAGGCATGTGTGCAAATTACATAGAAAACCATAATTTAAATCTAGTCTTTCTGACTAGTGATTTAAATCATGATTTAAATTGATTTGATTTAAATCAAATCCATTGTAGGATTGGGCAAGGAGATGATCCAGCAATTTAGGGAGTTTCTTTCTTCCTTTGGGGCACCGAGTGCTTTGAATGGCATGGGATGCAGAACAAATGGCTGGAGTTTTCTCACATGTGGGCTCCACTTGGTTGTCTTATTCTTGGCTTAAGTCATTTCCTGCAGTGTGTGGCTTACCCATCTCGAGCCTTTTGGATTTATCATCTTATCAGCCTATTTTACAGCAGTGCAATTTGTTGCTCCTTCTCTGTGTGTGACATTTTCCAGTGTGAATTCTATAAAATGATCTGTAAAGAGATCATGCATGGATAATCCTGCTTTATAGCTTACAGTGAAGGGTGGGACTTGGTTTGAACGTCTTTGTAGTGCCTTCCAATTCAGCGATTCCATGTTGTACATGATGTCAACTGCATATGGATGGACTTTATACTGAGGCAGTCTATTAGAAAGTATCTACTGTAATACTTTCTAATCTGATTGGCAGATAAAGTTTTTTTCTCAGACCTTGTGATCCATTCAGTTAGAGAACTAGGGGTTGAACTTAAGACCTTATGCATGCAAAGACTATATTCTGCCACTTGGTTATGACGTATTTCTCTTCCCACTCCCTAGATATTGATGCAAATGGATAGTGCTCATATATAAAAGTTGGTTAGAACATCCAGTTGCAGATGTATAAAGAATAGCTACACAATGTTGGCCGTAGTCTTTCTTTATCAAGGTTTGACAGAACAGTGAGACAGGCCACTTCTCCAGTTTGGGTGGTGATTCCTAAAATCTTGAAAACTTTCAATCTGTACTCCCTGTGCTGTTCAGGCGCATGTGCATTGTGATGTCACTGGCCCACTTTTTCTTATTAAAACTCAGTATTTTCCAGTGTCCTGTGTAAAACAAGTTTTTTCATGGAAAATTGCCTGTGAGGATTTTTTAAAATTGTTCTTAAATAGTAGGTTGTAAGCCATCTTGGAAATCCTATAATGGATGCAAGTGAGGAACATTTTAAATGAGTGGAGGTTTAGATTTGCAAGAACTTGAAACAATGGTTGAATTCCTTTTGCACTTTGTGAAACAACTAATTCTGAAACAACTAATAACTGGGAACAACTGGTGATCATTCCTATCTATATATGAATATGTAATACTGATTGATAACCAGGGTGAGCTTTTTCTTACCAGTGCTATTGCTAGCCTTCTCTAGTGTTAATATTGAGAAGGAACATGCCTGTCCTGGGCACTGTAATGTACCAGGCTGGGAACCCCAGCAGGCCAGACTAGTCTTACTGACTGGAGGTTCCCCTATTTCTGATATAGCTTGAATGGGGTTAATTTACCATCTCTGACTCTGGCTGGCCTGGTCACCACTAAAAGAGTGTCCAATTTGGGGTTGGAGAGAGAGGCAACATAAGGGTAATATGTTTTTAATGTTTTAACCTCACCTCGATGGATTCAAGAGGAGCGAAGGAAATAAACATCCCTTTTGAATGTAGCAGCTGCATTGGGAGTGGGAGAAAGTTTCCTCCAGACGACTCCCCATCCCGCCACAATGACCTGGAAGCAATATTTGGTTAATGGAAACACACAATGAAGTGAAGTTTGGAAAAAACACTTCTGGCACTGCTGTTGCTTTATCGAAAGCTATGCCATTCATGGAGTGGGTATTGTGTGTGGGGGGAGGGGGAGGGGGCAGGAAATCTCCATGCTTCCTTTCCCTCTCATTTGACAAATGTTAATGCTAGTGGAGGTCTTGAATCATTGTTGTAACTGTGTCTCTTGCTTTCAGAATTGCTTTTGTAGATTTTTTTTTCAGGAAGTGTGTTTGTTTAAAGCCACAAACACTGGGTGTGAGTTTTTATTTTCCATAGTAGAACACAAGGAAGTCTTGAATAAGCCACTTACTCTGTTACAACTTCTTTATTATTTCAGAGTTCACTAGAATTGTCATAGTATTGAACAACATTATTTAACTTTGTAAATAAGGGGACATAGCACACTAAGATAATTTGCATAGCTATGTATTTGCACACAGGTCACACAGAATTGCTATATTCTTTTCAATCTAGAAATGAAAAGGAAAGCTGTTAAAATGATACTGTGGCTTCCTTTAGTTAGATTACTGGTATTAGAGAATTTATGCGAAAATTGGTCTCATTAACAGAGAATTTTGGACTATTTGACCAACTTTTGCAGACCCTGACCATCACTGGCACCATGGATACAATAAATTTATTTTATGATGGGCTAGAACTCATTTGAGATCCATTGAGATTGAAAGGCAAATGTTGAGAACTAATGCTGAAGTTCATTTGTATGCATCGTGAGGTATATCCAGGTTTTAAAAATTGTACTTCTTCATGGTATGCTGCAGATCACTCTGAACAGGATTCCTCAACACCATGATGTAGATCCCTAAGGCAGTTGTTTCAGAAGTCATTATTAGGATCCGCACTGAAGTGTACAATAATTTCTGAAAACAAGTTTGATAACATTGGCTCATATTTATCAGAGTACTTCAGTCTGATTTTCAAAACCATAATGCATCTGTTAATTTTGCTTTACAAATACCATGTTCAATAAAGAAATGGTTGTATACTAATACCAATGCTTTTTTTATTGCAGGAAGTTCCATAAGAAGTTGGGTCAGCAGGCTTGGTTGGTTGCTGCTATTACAGCTACAGAGTTCCTTATTGTGGTAAAATATGATCCCTACACTCTAACACTGTCACTTCCTTTCTACATTACCCAGTGCTGGATCCTTGGAATAATGCTTGTGCTTACCTGGACAGTGTGGCGCTTCTTCATCCGGTAAGGGAAACCTGCATTTCTAGCTGCCTTGGATGGATCTTTGGTCTAATCCTGTAGATGTCTTCCTGATTTAAAGGGAACTTAGATTTAAAAGGTTTCCATGAAAAACATATCACAGAAATGGTCAAATACATGAATACCTGGATTTTGACATCAGTGCTTGAAGGTTTTATCACACCTTGAATTAATCATTGTAGCTGCTCTTCTGTGTCTTTTGTGAGTTGAAGAGTGGAATGTGTATGATAACAACAGCTCTTTCCTGGTGTTATGGAAAAGACTCAAGCAAGTGAAGGGGAGAGTAGTCTTCCAGCACTGAGTATATGGAAGGCTGTTATAGTAGCTACAGAACTGTCACTTAAGAACTTAGAACGGTGTTTTAACTAAATAAATATGTATTTGTTTTATTTCTAGTGACATCACTTTACGGTATAAAGAAATAAGAAGGCAAAAGCAAGAACATAAATATGGAAAGGACAAGTGTTTAAGCAATGGTGATGGACATTCTGCACGTGCAGATGAGCACAGTGGGAATAAACAAAGAGAGAAAAAACTTTGAACTCAAGTAATGAATTAAGGGCTTATGAGGGTTATTTTTCCTGACTTGAAAACTTAACCCTCCCTAGTTTTTCAATTGTCAATGTTTTCTCATGTGTGAGAATCCTGTTGGAAAAGGTGCCACCTAATCTCTTTTGTGGAAAGTGTTTACAACTAACATTAGAAGCAATGCTCTTCCCACAAGGGAACCTCCACTTTAAGTGTGTTATAACTGTTTGTGTCCTCTTACACAGAGAAGAATGGGGAGGTGGAAACAAATGCAAAGGGAATCCAGTGGCCCCAATTTTGGAAACCTATTCCTATCTGGGGTATCACAAACATATTTCATGGAATAAATATGTGCACTGAGAAAAATAGTTTGTTATTTTTTGCTGGAATTACCTTGAACTGTGGAGGCAATTTTCCTGTCGTCCTGATTGATTCACCAATTAGGATACACATCAACAAAGTAAGTGGAGGGTTGCTATTGAAGCATGAGAAAAAAAACTGCATAACTTGCACATTATACCATTGCAACAGCCCTGGGAGTTCCTGGATCTAGCTGCCTATGTCTCAAAGCAAAGGTGCATTACACTGAAACAGCCTGCTAGTTTTATAATACATTCTATTGATACCAAATACTTTTCAGTTCATCTTTAATTTTGCTGTCTGTTAGCCAAATAGAGCAAAGAAAGTCTAA